ACTATTTTCAGAATAGTTACATCTATTTTGTAAATAAACATGCTCCTTTTCACCAGTTCAGAATAAAAGGCAGAGACAACCCCTGGTTTACCACTGAGCTAGCTGACTTCCTGCACAGGAGAGATCAGCTTTGGGCTACATCCAGACATTCTGGCTCAGACAATGGTTGGTTGCATTTTCGACAGCTGCAGAATGAAAGTACAGCTTCCATCAAAGCCACAAAACATAACTACTTCTTATCTAAGAATACCAAAGATCTAAATGATCCTAAAATATTCTAGAAAACAATCAAATTTCTCTCCAGCAGCTCTCATTCATCTGACCTGCCATCACAACTTTTTGTTAACTCTGTTCCTGTGTCAAATAAGCACAAGATCCTGAACTGGTACAACAGACATTTTGTTGCTTCAAGTTCCTTCTTTTCACAGCTACTAATGGAAAACCAGCTACTTCTCCTTTAAGCCAAATATCTACAAATCATACCTCTCCTACAAGCCAATCCACAGTAAACCACACCTTTTCATTTTCATTGTTTTCAGTTAACGAGGTTAATAAATTGTTAAAAGATCTAGATTCAAAAAAATCTGCAGACCCTGATGACCTTCCACCTTATTTCTTAAGGCTGGCCCCCCATATCATTTCAGAATCTGTGTCTCACATCTTTAACCTGTCCATAAGCCAAAACTCCATTCCAGATGCTTGAAAAACAACCTTAGTTCTACCTTTAGTGAAGGGAGGAGACCCCACCATACTGAACAATTATTGACCAATCTCTAAACTCTGTATTTTTGCCAAGGTCCTAGAAAAACTTATAAACTCTCAAATCAAGAAATATTTGGATTCTTTTAACATCTTACCTCCCCATCAGTCTGGTTTCAGGAAACAACACAGCACAATAATGGCTTCTATGAAGGTTTTAATGTCGTTGAAGCACTGGATGCAAAGGATTATTGTGCCACACTTTACTGAGACCTGTCTAAAGATTCTGACACTGTGGATCATGACATCTTATGCAATAAGCTCTCAGAAATTGGTTTCTGAGATCACACCATTGGTTGGTTCAATAACTATCTCTCAGATTGGAGGTAATGTGTTCAGCATAATGGTACTTCTTCCAGTTATCTACCACAAGACTCAGTCTTAGGACCCACTCTCTTCACAATCTACATAGGTAATTTTTTCATTCATTTAACCTTTATTTAATGTCGACTTTTCCACCTGTCAACTTTTCCTCCACACTATGTAATTTTGGTCAGATCATCCCTGATGTATCTTTACATTTCTATGCTGATGATACAGTTGTTTGCTGTTGAGCTAAAACAGTTTATAAGATTTTCCAACTTTTGCAATCTGCTTTTGACATCATCCAGTCAGATTTGTTCCATCTCAAACTTGTACTAAACGTAGACAAAACCAAAGGGATGTTGTTTTCAAACATGAAGTCTGTCTCAGCCGTCCTTCCTTCGATTTTATCGTTGAATGGTGTTTCTATTGAATTTGTCGATTCCTACAAATACTTGAGTATCTTGGTCGATTCTCATCTCTCTTTTAATCCCAACGTTGAAAAACTGGTGAAGAAACTGAAAGGGAAACTGGGTTTCTTTTACATAAACAGATCCTGTCTAACACTAGGAAACGCCTTGTAACAGTGACTTTCCTTCCCTTCGTTGACTACGGTGACATTATGTACATGAACTCCCCTATAAGCACCTTGCAGATGTTGGACACTGTATGTCACACTGCGGTAAGATTCATAACTGGCTGTAACTACTTGAGCCACCACTGCACCCTGCAATCACTGGTTAACTGGTCATCGTTAACTTCACACAGATTATCTCACTGGTACATTTCCATCTTTAAATCACTTCTTGGTCTGCTGCCTTCATATATCTCCTCCTGCATGTCACTACGTGAGTGCAGCTATAGCGTGCGCTCCCAGGACATTATTACATGCAGTGTTCCCTCAGTGCGGACTGAACTAGGCAAAAAAGCCTTCTCCTACTCCGCTCCTGTTTCCTGGAATATCTTGCAAAAAGATCTTAAGTGCTCGAACTTGACCTCTCTAAGTGGCTTCAAACAACTGCTAAGTTCATGGCAAAAACCAATGCAGACATGTTGCTGTGTTTAGTATTTTATATTGGTTAATAATGTAGCTGTTTTTGTTTCCTTTTTTTATATAATTTTCTTTTATTTATTTAATTTTTTTCAATTTATATGGCTTCTTTTATGATTGTCTACTGTTGTCATTGTTGTCGTCATTGTTCTTTGTTAAAAACAGGTCTCTCTTGTAAATGAGTCCTCCAGGCTCACTGAGACTAACCTGTATAAATAAAGGTTGAATGAACTTGGATTTTGATCTGTTTACTTGAAAAGACTTGATATTTTACCCTTAATCTAAAGTTTAAAAACTGCGGTGAAGTTAGTTCTAGGTTGGATATTTGAGCTCCGCTGATTCAGCGTAGTCTTCCTCTCATTTGATCTAAGGAAGGCAGTCTAATTTTTGGTCAACTGCACTCAGTCTGCCCCCTCCTCCGAGGCGCAATGGTTCCATTAGGGGTTATCAATAAATTACTGAACCAAACATTCTTGAGAAAAAAAAATTAATAGCTTTCATGTCACGTGACCCACTGACACAAAACAGTCCAGCACTACAGCTAAGTCACTACCTGGATATTGATGATGGACAGAACGTTCTCTTGTTCTGGGCAATGAACATGCCGACTCTTCCTTTACTGGTTCATGTGGCCACTGAGTTTTGGCAGTGCCTTCATGTAGCGCTCCAGTGGAGTGAGTTTTCAGCTATGGTGACATCATTCTACGGTCTCATCGTGCACAAATGACTGACAGACTTTTGGCCAGTTTGGTCTTTTACAAATGCAGAATAGCTAACTGAAATAATAAAGTGCACATTTGTGTTTATTGTTCAGTTTATATATTTGTTTTGTTTCTCTTGTCACTCACATATGGACACATACAAACATATGTTCACTAAGTGACCAGATGAGAGAGGAAATAAATTTACTGTAATGGTTCTTTGTATTGCACTGTGGAAATGTCAGCACGTTTTGTCTGAACATGGAGTTCTGCTTTTGCATTTTTCCCTGAATGTTCTGGAAAATTATAGTTTAAAGGACGACTATTCTTGCAGCTAAGTTTTATTGAACTGTGCAATAAAAGGTACAATTTTAGAATGACGTTTTTAACACTTTGTAAGTTGCATGTTTCAACACGATTTGAGATAAATACAGATTTTAAAAGAGCACACTGTCTGTTATTTACATTTATCGTATAATTGCAACAATATTAAAAAATACTAGAAAGGACTTGAAATTTCAAGTTTCAGGCTTGGGACTTGACTTGACAGTTGCATGTCTTTACTTGAGACTTGACTCGGGTTTTGAGGATAAAGACTTGAAACTTACTTGAGACTTTCAAAACAATGACTTGGTCCCACCTCTGGGACTCGGTAGTAAAAAAAAAAAATTTTTTAAGTATTGAACAAAAACAAAGTACTGGCGGAGCAGCAAAACTTACTGAGATCAGTAGAAAGGTGGAAAAGACAGATCATGACACTGTGTAAAGGACAAATCTCAGATAACAAGGGAGTAACAACACGTAGATTAAATACAGACACTAATGATGTGAGAGGAGGAACACCTGGGGTGACTGGGATTAGGATCAGCTGTGCATGAGGATGAGGAAAAAACACAGAGGTGCAGGAAAACACTGAAAGCAGACATACTCGTCTCAGAGTCAGTGGTTCAAGTGAGTGACTCCGTTTTTTGCTGGTTAAACTACAGTTTCTACTACAGCGTTCTACCAAACCCCTGATGTCCTGAAGCCCCTTTGAGTATAAAGCAGTTATGTCAATAAACACATTTGTAAAGTGTTAAGATTGTAATGCTTAAAGAGCTGGGAGGTGCCACAAGAAATAAGCTAAAGTAATTGTAGTCTAATTATAGGGCGATTGAGGACCACAATGTGCGGAGTGGCTCGAACACAATGATGAGTTACCATATTGCCCACCTTGCATTGATAATAATAATAATAATAATAATATAATAATAACGTGTTGCGTGTTGTCATTATTGCATGTCCCCATACAATGGTGAAATTGGCTCTTTGCATTTAACCCATCACACCTGGGATACACTCAAGTGGGGCAGTGGGAAGCTATTGAGGGTGACCGGGGCGCAATTGGGGATAAGGCATCCTACTCAGAGACACCATGAGATGTGCAATGATTGGGGACCAAGCCTGGGACTTTTGGGTCCTGGGTTGGCTGCTCTACCCCATCTCGGCCCCCCCATTGATGATCCTGTCACAGAGTGAGGAAACTAATCACCTCCACCTGAGAAGAACCGATAACTTATCAATGGCAAAGCGGCTGAAGTGAGCTCTGGCACCGGTGTAGACCTAGAACCTGTTTGGTGGAAACCCCCCAAAAGTGAAGCATTTCTAAAGACTAAATACATCTATTCATGTTCTTAGTCACTTTTACATGCAGGGTTGTGGAGAGTTGGAGCTTGTCTCCAGGGATCATAACAAATAAACAGTTAGAAATTAATTGTTCATAAACATTTTACCATACCTAATTAAAATGTCTAAAATCTGCTTCATATTAACGTTCCTTTGGAATAGTTATCCAACTAATCAAAGCTGTATAGATTATTAGCTTGGCCTAATTTATGTTGTGAATTGACAGCAGAATTCATCTGACTAATGCAAAGTATAATTATTAATAAATATTTTAATTCTCAATTAAAATAAAAATGTTATGTTGACTGATAATTGCATAATGTTAGACAGCCTCTCCAAAGAAATCTAAACTAAATACCTTGTCTTAATCAGACTTGTTCACTTTACAGGCTAAACTGGGTTTGAATGATCAAAATTTGGGGTTATGGTTTGGTTCAAATTCCATAATTTTATTTGATCTTTCCTTCTTTGCTCTTCCCAACATGCTACAAGGTACAATGGTATGATAAAAAAATGAATACCTCTCCGTTGGCAAAACAGTACAGAACAGCAACCAAGAAGCCCTGAAAACGAAGCAAATGTTTAGAGCTCATCTGGTTTAGGGACAAATACAAACATCATGAGATGTATGACCTCCACTCTGTGGTTACCTGGAAGGAGCTGAGGGTGAGGTTGATGAAATTCCGAGCGTAGCGACTGCTGCCCTCCACACATTCATCGATCAGCACCGTGAACACCACTTCATGGATCCCCAGCAGGGGAATCAGCACCAGCGTCGCCCTGGCTAAACTGAGGAGCAAAAACAAGCAGGTTTAGTAGTGTTTGCTCTTCCTGAAGCAAACATCAGGTAAATAATGTGTTGGTGACGAACAACAACGTAGAAGAAAGAGAAAATTACATCATAAATAAATTCAGAGAGTATTCAGACAGGGATTCCTTCATGCAGCCATTTTCAGGTCTGTTTGACAAAGTATGTCTGTACTCTACTCCATCCATGTTCTCCACCCTGACCAACCTCCCAGTTCCTGCTGCTAAAAAAACACACCTGCTGCATGATGCTGCCACTACCATGCTTCACTATTAAGATGCTATTGGCCAGTTGATGAGTAGCACCTGGTTTCCTCCAGTCAGATTGTTTATAAAACTGAAGCCAAACTGGTTTTCTCAAACCATAAAATAATGTTCTTCATCTTTAAAGATGGCTTTCAAACCTAAAAAAGTTAAGTCTGGTCCTCTGGACATTCGAAAAGCAAAACAAAAACTGGGGCTTTCATTTGCTAGTATCACTCAGTCCCCTGTGAATAGCAAACAGCCATCAGGGTGCCATTGTTAGGCTGATGGTCCTCCCGGATCATGTGAGTAGCTGGTTTTGGTTGTCAAAAGCAAAACTGGTTGATCGACTATGAGAAGGTGTTATTTATAAGACTGAGCTGAATACAGCATCTCAGACTGAGAAAGTCTTTCGGATGAAAGACAAAACGTTTCTACATTTTTTTTGGTTTTGTTTTGTTTTTTGAATATCCAGACGACCAGATTTAACTTTTTTTTTTAGATTTTTCTACCTGGATTATTGAGCATGCATCAGGATAGCTCTCAAATGTTTCTCACTGAGGACATCCATCTGTGTCTCCACTCAGACATGAAGCCCAAATCAATGGATGCCTGTCATTAGTTTATTGTTAATTTTGGTATCACTTTACAATAAGGCTCGCCTTGTTTTTATTTTTTTTTCTGCACTTGCCCTCGTGCAAGGCAGATGCCTTTTCTCTCCCTCTCCTGTTTTCCTCCTGCTTTTTTGCTCACTGTCTATGTATCAGAGCTCCTATTACACATCTTCCAAAATGAAAACTACTGTTATGGATGTGGTCAGCTGGACTTTCAGTGCAATCGACAAAATCTTTTTAACAAAGCGACAGGGTCCTGGAGAGCCCTCATGCCCAGCTGAGACTCATGCGGCAGGATACATCATGGATCCGTGGGGAGTTTGAGAGCTGATGTATCTTTCTGTTTAGTCTCAGGAGGATGCCAAATATGATTATTTAATTAGAATCATGATAGCAGGGTTTCTGCTTTGTAGGATCAGCGGATTCCTGTGTTATTGACTATTGAGGAAGACAGCGGCAGCAGTTTCGGCCATGGCAAAACTGCAGATTCTGTGTGAAGGTTCGGTTTGTGCTTCGAGTACTCAAAATCAGCTGATTTACGAGCTAAACCGTAAACCGGTTTGTGAGAATCGCAGGCCACCTGTAGCTTCTACGACTCGCCAGCATGTTGGAGACGAACTTGGATGGTGCTTATAATCACGGACCAGTGTAATGCCCACTAATCTGGCCCTTTTGAATCTTGAAAGTACCAGCAATACTCAAGGATGACAAGAAAAAACAGTCTGCCTGAAAAATATCAACAGTTGTGGCTTATCTGAATCTGACTCCCCCGGTTGGCCTCGAAAGCAGGCCGACTTATCAAATTTCTCCTTGGAAATGTGTAAACTAAGAAAAAATTCTGTCTGTTTCTGCCAATCTTTCGGACCACAGTACAAACATAATCTCACTGTATTTCAGTACAATGACAATAAAGCTCATTCTTATTCTGATTCTTATAGATGCTAATAGATATGTTATTAATTTCTTTATAACCACTTTTAAAATCATTAATAACTGCTTATTATGCATTAGTTAAGGGCGAAAAAGAGACAAAACTGATCAGTTTCTTGCCAAATAGTGACCCAAATCTGCCACCTATATATTTCATCTAGAGTTGTTATATTGAACATTTCAGACTAAGTTACTACCTTGTAAGAACAATAAGCATTTGTAAACCTATTTCTTTAGCATATAATATTGTACTTTATCACTGCATTATAAGTATCTACAACTAATATTATATCCTAAAAAAAAATAGGTTTACAAATTATTATTGTGCTTATAAGGTAGTGACTTAATCTGGAATGTTTAATATAACTCTAGATGAAATATACCATACCATACCATACTACTTTATTTATAGAGCACTTAAAACAGCGACAAGGCCAACCAAAGTGCTGTACAGACAGAACAACAGGTAACACACAAAGCAATATACAAAATGAGGTAAATCAGAATATAAACATAAAAAAACTGATGCAGATAATGACGACAAACCAGTGTAGAGAATACAGGATCAAAACACAGATCCTCTGGTGTTGAAAGCCACCGAATAGTAGTGGGTTTTTAAATGGGACTTGAAAACCGAGAGGGAGGGGGCCTGTCTGACAAGCAGAGGTAACTCGTTCCA